CACATTTAAAGCAGTCTCTAGAGAAAAATATATAGCAATAAGTGCCTACATGAGAAGAAAAGAGAGATCTATAATTGAAACCCTAGCATCAAAATTGAAAGAGCTAGAGGACCAAGATCAAAAAAACTCAAAACCTAGCAGAAGATAAGAAATAATTAAGATCAGAGCAGAACTGAAGGAGATAGAGACACAAAAAACTCTTCAAAAAATCAATAAATCCAGGAGGTGGCTTTTTGAAAAGATCAACAGACAGACCACTAGCCAGATTAATAAAAAAGAAAAGAGCGAATAACCAAATTGATGCAATAAAAAACGATAAAGGGGATATCACCACACATTCCGCAGAAATTCAAACCACCATCAGAGATTATTACAAACAGCTCTATGCACATAAACTAGTAAACCTGGAAGAAATGGATAAATTCCTAGACACTTGCCTCCTCCCAAGCCTAAACCAGGAAGAAGTTGAAACCCTGAATAAACCAATAACAAGGTCTGAAGTTGAGGCAGCAATTAAGAGCCTACCACCCAAAAAAAGCCCAGGTCCAGATGGGTTCACAGCTGATTTCTACCAGACATACAAAGAGGAGCTGGTACCATTCCTTCTGAAATTATTCCAAATATTCCAAAAACAGGGAATCCTTCCCAAATCATTTTATGAGACAAACAACATCCTGATACCAAAACCCGGCAAAGACTCAACAAGAAAAGAAAACTTCAGGCCAATATCCATGATGAACATAAATGCAAGAATCTTCAATAAAATACTGGCAAGCCGATTGCAACAACACATCAAAAAGCTTATCCACTATGATCAAGTAGGCTTCATCCCAGGGATTAAAGGCTGGTTCAACATATGCAAGTCTATAAAGGTAATTCACCCCGCAAAGAGAGCCAAAGACAAAAACCACATGATTATCTCAATTGATGCAGAGAAGGCCTTTGACTAAATTCAACAGCCCTTTATGCTAAAAACCCTCAATAAACTAGGTATTGATGGAATGTATCTCAAAATAATAAAAGCTATTTATGACAAACCAACAGCCATTATCATGCTGAATGGGCAAAAACTGGAAGCATTCCCTTTGAAATCTGGCACTAGACAAGGATACCACTTCTCACCACTCCTATTCAATATAGTACTGGAAGTTCTAGCCAGAGCAATCAGGCAAGAAAAAGACATAAATGGTATTCAAATAGGAAAGGAGGAAGTCAAATTGTCTCTATTTGCAGACGACATGATTGTATATCTAGAAGACCCCATCGTCTCAGCCCCAAATCTCCTGAAACAGATAAGCAACTTCAGCAAAGTCTCAGGATACAAAATCAAAGTGCAAAAATCACAAGCATTCCTATACACCAATAACAGACTTAAAGAGAGCCAAATCAAGAACGAACTGCCATTCACAATTGCTACAAAGAGAATAAAATGCCTAGGAATACAACTAACAAGGAGCATAAAGGACCTCTTCAAGCAGAACTACAAGGCACTGCTCAACAAAATCAGAGAGGACACAAACAGATGGAGAAACATTCCATGTTCATGGTTAGAAAGAATCAATATCGTGAAAATGGCCATACTACCCAAAGTAATTTACAGATTTAATGCTATTCCCATCAAGCTACCAATGACCTTCTTCACAGAACTGGACAAAACCACCTTAAACTTCATATGGAACCAAAAGAGAGCTGGCATAGCCAAGGCAATTCTATGCAAAAAGAACAAAGCAGGAGGCATCACACTACCTGACTTCAAACTATACTACAAGGCTACAGTAATCAAAACAGCATGGTACTGGTACCAAAACAGAGATATAGACCAATGGAACAGAACAGAGGCCTTGGAGGCAACACAACATATCTACAACCATCCGATCTTTGACAAACCTGACAAAAACTGGCAATGGGGAAAGGAGTCCCTGTTTAATAAATGGTGTTGGGAAAACTGGCTAGCCATGTGCAGAAAGTGGAAACTGGACCCCTTCCTGATGCCTTACACTAAAATTAACTCCAGATGGATTAAAGACTTAAACATAAGACCTAACACCATAAAAACCCTAGAAGAAAATCTACGCAAAACCATTAAGGACATAGGCGTAGGCAAGGACTTCATGACCAAAACACCCAAAACATTGGCAACAAAAGCCAAAATAGACAAATGAGACCTAATCAAACTCCACAGCTTCTGCACAGCAAAAGAAACAGTCATTAGAGTGAATCGGCAACCAACAGAATGGGAAAAAATTTTTGCAGTTTACCCATCTGACAAAGGGCTGATATCCAGAATTTACAAAGAACTAAAACAGATCTACACGAAAAAAACAAACAAGCCTATTCAAAAGTGGGCAAAGGATATGAACAGACACTTTACAAAAGAAGACGTACATGAGGCCAACACACATATGAAAAAATGCTCACCATCACTGGTCATTAGAGAAATGCAAATCAAAACTACATTGAGATACCATCTCATACCAGTTAGAATGGCAATCATTAAAAAATCTGGAGACAACAGATGCTGGAGAGGATGTGGAGAAATAGGAACACTTTTACACTGTTGGTGGGAGTGTAAATTAGTTCAACCATTGTGGAAGACAGTGTGGTGATTCCTTAAGGACCTAGAAATAGAAATTCCATTTGACCCAGGAATCCCACTACTGGGTACATATCCAAAGGATTATAAATCGTTCTACTATAAGGACACGTGCACACGAATGTTCATTGCAGCACTGTTTACAATAGCAAAGACCTGGAACCAACCCAAATGCCCATTGATGATAGACTGGACAGGGAAAATGTGGCACATATACACCATGGAATATTATGTAGCCATCAAAAATGATGAGTTTCTGTCCTTTGTAGGGACATGGATGAACCTGGAAACCATCATTCTCAGCAAACTGACACAAGAGCAGAAAATCAAGCACTGCATGTTCTCACTCATAGGTGGGTGTTGAACAATGAGAACACATGGATACAGGGAGGGGAGCACTACACACTGGGGTCTCTTGGGGGAAAATGGGGGAGGGACAGGGGTTGGGGAGGTCGGGAGAGAGAGCATGGGGAGAAAGGCCAGATATAGTGAATGGGAGGAAGGCAGTAAATCACACTGCCATGTGTGTACCTATGCAACAATCTTGCATGTTCTTCACATGTACCCCAAAACCTAAAATGCAATAAAAAAAAAGAAAAGAAAAGAAAGAACACTGTTCTCAAGCCTTTTACCCATAATGTGATACCTTTTGATTGCTTGCCTTGTTTTAGTCAATTTGCTTTCTTTAGCGCTTCTAATAAGGTCAGGCATGAATGTAACTGAACTACTACATATGAAATATAAGAGCTCCTATTCCCATACAGATAGTCAGGAAATCCATTGGTATTGGCAACCTCAGAGACCAGATGAGGAAATTGAGGTCCTAAGTAGTTACATAGTTGAATGCATTTAAAACTAACAGATTTTGAATTCAAGGCATGAAACAATATATTATTTATTATAATTATATACATGTTATGTCAAATGTAAAATATGCCTAATGCCATATAGGACATAGAAATTATATAGTAGTGAAAACATATAAATGCACATAAGTTTATTAAATGTATAAAGATACTTCCTATAGATTATCACAGAAAACAAATGTTCACACATATGGTTTACCCACTTGATAACTGATCAATTCTATTCATCAAAAGTACATTTCAATTATTTCTATTTAAGCATAAATTAAAACTCTTCTAAACATTTATAGGCTCTTGGTGTTGAAACGAATCTCAAAAACCCAAAATCACCAAACCTCCCTTCATATGTGATATATGAGTTTGGAAAGCAGCAGCAATGCTCCATGGCTATTTCTTATTATTTTATTCCCTGGACTAGTAAGGAATGGTGCAGCTCACATAAAAATAAGAAACACTCACATGAGAACATGAGAGAATCCCCAATGGTTTCCCTATTAAGAAACCATTCTATAAAATGAGTCCATTTTCTGAGAGACAGTCCCAGTCTTGGGTTTCACTGGATCCAGGCAGCAATGAGATTAGGGCCATTAAGAGTCTGCATTTGCTTCCCAACCCAGCAGACCCCAGGTATTCATTGTCAAGACTATGCTTTATCCACTTTGTATTCAGCACCACTAGAACAACCTCCTTTTTCCTCCCCAACTCAGCACCAGGCCCACTGCTGTCTATGTCTGGCACTTGGAGGGGTGGTAGGTAGATGGATGGATGGATAAGTATATAAAAACTTTCCTCTTTTGTTCCACTATAATTCATATTTCATTCAAATACCAGGATAAAGTCTTTATGTCCTTTTCTAAAGAGATGTCATTATTTTTCTTATCAAAACTTACTAAATGTCTGTAGCTGGCCAGTTTCTAATCATAATAAAAACCAAAATATATCACAATTTGGGTAGCATATCTCGGGATCTGGGAATTCAAAAAAAAAGTCTAGGTTATGATTTCACTGAGAACATTAGTATCTTCTAAATGCTATCTTCTATGTTAATTAGCTCTGTATATTCCCATCAGAATGAAGGGAATTAGGATTAGAGCTAGGGCTAAGGTTGATGTATGACCCTGGAATGCTTCAAAAGTTTTTTTTAAAAAGGATCTGAAGTTTAGATTTGAAAATATCATTAAGGGAAGTCCTATAATTTACCTTCAAATAAAATGCAATTTTGTTGTTAAAGTGAGGCAGGAGTTATTTTACAGCCAAAGAAAAGGTAGAGTATTAAACACATCATTTGTTTACATTGAAAATACACCCTGGGCCTGTGGGTGTACATACTGTAATTGAAGTCATCTCAACAACAATTACCCACAGGTTTCACTCTCACTTAGCAGGGGAGGTTTGTTTCAATTAGTGGTTTCTTTCCAGTACTTCCTCATACTTTCTAGGCAGCTTTTTGGACATGAGAGGGTTGTAGAGAAGTAGAAAGAGAAATTCATTACCCAGCCCTCAGAGAGTTTGGAAATGAAGGGTACGTTTGTACTACTCACGGCTCAGCCTGTAGGCTTCTGTCCTCGGCCACATAGTTAGAAGGAATATAGCCCTGTAGTTGCTGGCTGGAGCCATCTTGTCTTTTCTCCAAGTGTCTGGCAAACCACCAGCCCTCATGTGAAGTGTCTAGAACCTGAAGTTTGTCACCTGCACGGAAGCTCAGGTCTTCAGCAGTCCGAGCCTGGTAATCAAACAAAGCCACAAAGTAGTGGCCAAGCCTCTGTGACGGTGGAGAGCAATGGGCCCCTGGGTTTTCAATCACCGTTGACTTGTCTGCCTCCGTGGACAAGCAGGGGAGATAGGGTTCTAAGTACTCCCAGAGCCTCTGACAGATGTTGCTCATTGCGCCTTGGTGGGGAGAAGAGGAGCAGGGCTTCTCCCTCTCCCCTTAGTCTCTGCAGATCCACCTTCTCTTTCTTCACCAGGCAACTTTGAAGTCAGCACCAACTCACCATACTTTGAAGAGTATGCAAAGTCCCATTTCAGATCAGTCCAGCAGCTTGGTTGCAGCAAGTCCTACCTGGAGAGACTTACTGGTTTGTTTCTGTGGCCGGAGGTACTAACCTGGAAAAAAACTGAGCAGGAGCTGGGCAGCTACTCAGCAGGAAGATGTTTTTTCTTCTTATCTGCTTAAGAATCCCACAACAAAAATAAAATTAAATTCAAAAGGCTTTATTTAGACAAATATCTGAGAACAGAATGGTGCCATCTTGCCTTTTGTTCCAATAAAAAGTTAGCAAGAGGAAGCTACTAACCCCAGGTAAAACTTCCACGCCTTGGTTTCACCAGGAGCTCTCCCCCTGTTTCAAGTCTGATCCTGTCTTTCAACCGGTCTGGATCTGGACGGCTCTCTCCTTTTTGCTAATGAATAACCAACCGGCAGAGGCTGTTGCCTTTAACATTCTGAGCTATGAACAGACTGTAATAACTTCCCCTTACTTCCTGGTTTCTTTCTGTCTGTGATCTAAATGGGATTCTGACCTCTTTACCCCTCCCTTCTCCCACACCCAAGATAGACCAGATCCTTTAACAAACTGTTAAAGCAGCACCAACATCTATATTCCTTTTGTTTCATCCTGGAGAATCAGGCTAGCCCAAGTAGCTTTTTGTCTTAATATGTTCCCGGCACAGAAATTCACAGCAGAGACTTCCCCCACACCCCTGGCCCCACAAATATAAGTAGAATTGTTTTGCCACCACCAGGGAAGTTTTAACAGGCAAATTAAAATATTTAGGTATTTCTTGTCGGACACAGAGGAATTGGAAAAGAACCATCAAGTCACTCCCTTCTCTCATTACCAGGAATAGATTTTAATAGCTTCAAAGAATGGTCACAGTCTGGAAAAGTAAGAAAGCAGCTGACTAAAATGTTGAGAAACAAGAATATTGCTTTTTCCCACAGACATTTAATTTCCTATCCTTCAAGCACTGTTTTGAAAACATACACACACACACACACACACACACACACACACACACACACAACACTAGGTGTCCAGTAGAGAAAAAAAGAGTAGAGCAGAAAAGGAGCTCTTTGCGTGCTGCTGTGGGGGCTCTTTCTGTTAAACTTTGACCTCCAGATCTGTACTAGTTCTTATTAATTTCCTTGGCAAGAACTCCGGAACTAATGAGACTGACATCAGGACAGTCATCTCTAGACAGGCAGTGAGTTTTGCTTGACCTTCCCTAGTTCAGGGCAGCTGTCTCACAAATATTTGCCCTGGATCACAAAAACAGTTGGGCAATGAGTTTGGGCAGATCAACATACAATCATTTATATTAGGAGACAGCATTGCAAACTTGATCATGATTGTCACTGATTTCTTTATGACTTTTAAAAAATTTCTCTCTTAAATACAATCTTTCTAAAAGTTGTCAGATCCTTGAACCTAGCTAACCTAGTCCTAGTATAATCTCATCACTTCTGTTCTTTGTCAAATTGCAAGGCATTTAGTAATGAGAATAATAAAACTCAAGAAAAAAGAAAGAAAGAAAGAAAATCGAGAACTATGGCATCAGCCCCACCTGCTATTACCTTGTGCAAAATTCAGGCCATAGCAATGGACAGAGCAACTGGTTAAAATAAAATCTTGTGTCATGCTCCCAGGTTTCTCCAATTGTCTTTGGAATCAGAGTATAAATAACAATTTGACAAAAATAGAAAAGCCAAAAGCAGAGCTAAGTTTTTGTTGTCCCTGTTGTTGTTTTGTTTTTTTAATGATATGAGACCTAAAATAGAATGTATATATAATTTCATATTATATACAAAACAGAAAATATATAATATCAAATGACCATAAAGGATATTTTGTTCCAAATACAATAACGGATATAAAAGCATAGGATTCTATTAATGCCCCTAAACAGATATACAGATGCTGAAGTCTTTCCTGAGACTTAATGATATAAAAATGAAAAAAAAAAAAAAAAGGATTTGGAAGCAACCAGAGAGATGTATTCAAACCCAATTTGTAAGTGGGGTTTTACATTTTACATTGTAGCGGTTCTAAATTCAGATATGCCTTTACTATAGTTATGACAAGGCATTCTGGAAAAAGACAAAGCAGCAGACCTGCACAGCACAGTCATTGAGCAAGTGAGTGAAATTCAAAAAGCGGCCAACAATCCAAAGATGTCAGGTGAGCAACGGCCTGAAAACGCAGAGCCAAGGGGTGGAAAGAGAGAGGGTTTCTTTGTGTTGATAGTACCAGAATTCTCCAGTCACCCAATCTCAAAGCCTTGCAGTCATCTTTTATTTGCTCTCTGATTTCTTTGAGCTCCTCAATCTGAATTCTGCTCAGTCTTCCTTTTCATTTATTCCATAAACTTTTTTTTAAACTCCTTCTGAGTGATGGCTGGGCACCAGACAGAAACAGAATATTCTTTCCTAGATTATTCCAGAGGTCTCCTAACTGGTCTCCCTTCCTCCAGCTTATTCCCATCTCTGGAACATCTTGCACACCAAGATGAGTGGTATTTATAACAGTTTATAGAGCAGGTTTTATAATAGTAACAATGACTGAGGTGATAAGTCATTCCTAATCATTACTAGTAAAAGTAGCTATCTGTTTGGAAAGCTTTCTATGTGCCAGGCACTGTACTAAGAACGTTAGAAATAAGATCCAGGAATTCTACTCCAGGGTATGTATCCAAAAGATTTGAAATCAGGATATCTGAGAGATATGGAACTCCTATGTTTATTGCAGCACTATTCGCAATAGGCAAGTTATGGAATCAATCTAAGTGTTCATCAATTAATGAATGGATAAGAAAATATGGCATATATACACACTGGGGTCCTAATCAGCCTCAAATAAAAAGGAAATCTTGTCATCTGTGACAATGTGAATGAACCTGAAGAACTTTATGCTAATGAAATAAACCAGGCATAGAGGCAAATATTGCATGTTCTGACTTACATGTAGAAGCTAAAAATATCAAACACGTAGAAGCAGAGAGCAGAATGGTGGTTACCAGCAGCTGGGGAATGGGAGGAATGGGTAGATGTTCATTAAGGGGCACAATGTTTCAGTTAGACTGAAGGAATAAATGATAAGTATTTAATTCAAGACTATGGATATGTTAATTAGTTTGATTCAATCATTCTACATTGTATACATGTATCACAGCATTACTTTGTACCCCACAAAATATACAATAATAATTTGTCAATATCCAGTAAAAATATGAGAATGTTACAAATAATATATCATTTAATTCTCACCAAATAATAAACAATGCCTATGAAAAAGGTAGCATTTTTTTTTAAAGTATTTTAGAGAAGAAACTGAGGCTGAGCAGTTAGATAATTTGTCCAAGGTCACACAGCCACCAAGTGGCTAACCATAAGTAACACTCTGTTCTCAATCTGACTCCAGAGCCCGAGAGTGTAAAGCCTCAGTTTTACTGATTCTTAAAAAATCTGATATTATTCTTCTATGTAAAATTCTGAAAGAACCTCCAACACATTTGGAATAAACCTTACCTCTTCAGCATGAAACACAAGGCCTTGCTAACTTCTCCAATCACGCTTCATCACTCCTGCACACAGGTCCTATGATATAGTTCGCCAAATGACCAGCAGCTCCTGAGGCCCTCTTCCCTGCTGCACCTCTGCATCCTCTACCTGCTCCCCTGATGGCTTCCTCATCATTTTTCTAGGTTGGGTTCATGCATCAACTTCTCTGCCGTAATAGATGAAAGGCCACTGTGCACTCCTAAATTCTGGCACAAACTTCTACTTGGTTTGTTGTTGAGCCCATCTTTGTTCCCTATTTGTTTTCCAAGGAGAACAGAATTCCCTTCTCTGAACCTTTAGTGACTTGTACAATATCCATTATGTAAATAATAAGTATATGATGAATTAAATAATTAACACAGAAAGAAAGAAATAAACAGTGTGGAAGAGACAGAGATAAAAGCAGGGAGGGAATAGAGAGGGAGGGAGGAAAAAGTCATTGGGGAAAGATAAACTTTAATATGAATATTCATGATTGGGAGTGAAAGTTCCATGGTGTGAAAAGGGCCATGAGCACAGAGAAGAGAATGCATTCGGTCTATTGCTTCTCAGTCCCTTCCTTTCCTCTCTTACTGTTCCCTGAATGTTAGATTCCTTTGCCAACCTCCTAAACCAGTTTTCCTGCCTGGAGTCACTTTTCTTCTCATCCTTACAGCAAATTGCCACCACCTTAATCTTAATCACTCTCCTACACAATAACCTTCAACAGATCCTCATTGCCTGGAAGATATGACTTGGAATTCACGGCTAAGAAATTTGTACTTTATCCACATTATCAGATGTACCCTTTCAACACCCCCTCCGTTATGGCTTTATGTTAGCCAAACTGGTTTATTAGATCTCCCATATGCCTCATCTGTTCCCACATCTGATCCTGTATTCTTTGCCATTCTTTTACTCAGTATTCCTTCCCCTGCTAACTTTCCTTCCCAGTAAGTGTACTTACTCCTGCCTGCATTTCAAGGTCTGAATAAAAATCCCTCACCCCCTTAGACTTTCCTTAACCATTCCACTCAAAAATCACTTCTGTCTTCCTTGAATTTTCTACCTCCCACAATCCCCACTCCTAATATACACAACATTAAATGAATTGAACCATGCCACCATACCTGGATTGCTGAATACTGCCACAAAAAATCCCACATCTATTCAGTTTTATACTAGGACAAATTAAAGATCCCCAAATCCTGCTAGGCCTCAGAAGTAGGGCTTGGAGAAGGTTATCATAAAAAATTAGACTCTGTCTCCCCAACTCACTCAGTGACATATTCCCCCACACATAGAAAAGGGGATTATATTCTAGGTAGCCATTAAAAAATAAAAACAAAACTCTCCACCACAGTCTTCCTCCAGACTCTTGCTCTGAACCCGTATAATCTACAAACATGCACCTCTTCTTCATACCTGTTGACCTTTGCTCAAGCCCTTTCTTTTGCCTGACATGATAACACCAACTTCTCTCTTTTCCTACATTTACCATCTTCCAACTTACTTGCCAGATAAATATGGATTCTTGTCTATCTTTCAAGAATCAGATAAAATGTTTCTGTCGTCATTAATTCTTTCCTGACTACTTCATTAGACAGAATTGATTACTCTCTCCTGTGTGTCCTCCCAACATAATCTATACCCATTTTTATCATTTATTCCATGTCTTATCAATTGATTCTAATCTCTTTAGGCACTTAATGTAGTGTTATTTTGTTCCTGTATTGACACAATGCCTCATACTTAATGGGCATTCAATAAATGTATGTTGAGTGAAAACTAATGATTATCATTCATCTAGAACAAGTTTATAATATCTTAGGTAGTCTAATATCTGTTTATACTGTATGTAATTTTGTTATTTCCTCAAGCATATTGCTCTGTCCTTGAAGACAAGTTTATGTCTCATATATTTCTCTGTATCATAAGGAAAATCTAGAATCTGTCCTATGCATAGGAAATCTCTCTACTTTCACTCTTGTTCAATTGCAATTTTGATGGTTAATACCTAAGGTCAACTTGATTGGACTGAAGGATGCAAAGTATTGATCCTGGGTGTGTCTGAGGATGTTGCCAAAGAAGATTAACATTTGAGTCAGTGGGCTGGGGAAGGCAGACCTACCACTAATCTGTTTGGCACCATCTAATCAGCTGCCAGTGAATATAAAGCAGGCAGAAAAACATGAAAAAGTGAGACTGGCCTAGCCTTCCAGCCTACATCTTTCTCCCATGCTGGATGCTTCCTGCCTCAAATATTGGACTCCAAGTTATTCAGTTTAGAGACTCGGACTGGCTCTCCTTCCTCCTCAAGCTTGCAGCCAGCCTATTGTGGAACCTTGTGATCATGTAGGTTAATACTATATATATATATATAAAGGGGAGCTTATATATGTATATATACTTCAT